GGTGGTATGCACGAAGAACATACTATGCGGCCATTAGAGAGACCGCTTCGACGATATTAAGTTATGAACAAAAGCCCGTGGTCAACGGGGGCTACGTGGTTTATCTCGCTCTTCCGGCGTCGAAATCAATTTCGTTTCGTCGAGCCTCTTTAACGGAACGATTAATTCATTCACTGTCAGTGGAATTCCTTGTTGTTAGAAAGAAAGAACCGTTCAACGACCGTGTTCGGAAATATTGTACAATTTTCCGCGATCCAAAGTTGGTTTATTGCGATTGAACGACGAGACAGGATCGTTAAGGGAAGTGAAGCTTGCCTCGTGAACGATACTCGAGTCAAAGTTCGAAAGCAATCGAGTTCTCCGGCGAAGCGACCAAATTCTCGAAATGCAAATGACACGAGATCCCGTTTTCACTGGACGTCCGCTGGATTCGGAGTTGTTTCATTGAAAGGTGAATAGACGAGGTGATGCGTAAATTGAGTTTTAGGGACCACCGACGTTAACGATGACTTCACGATTTTAAGAACAATTTCGGTAAAAGTATAAGAATACACATAAGAGATACGTATTCATCTCGTGTATAATTCTTCAAAACCGTCGTGAAATCATTCCACCGGTCGACATACCGTTTCTTCCGGGCATGCCACGATCTTAGCGAGGAGGCCATCAGCAACTAATTTTTCATTCAGCGGGAACCATGTCAAGTGAGCAATTAGATCCGAGAGTTTGCTATTCCGAGCAATTCCTCGCAACAAACGCGGAAAAACGCCGTGGCAAACGGAATTTTTAATACCGCGAATCCCGCTAACAACGACGGATCAGCCGATGCGTCCCGAGGCGCGAGCGCGAACTTTAATATTTCAAGGTTTGCGTCCAAAGGTTGACCAAAGGAACTGATCGCGCGTAATATGTACACCTGAGGCAAAGAAGAACCTGCATCATAGTTTTTTTTTTTTTCTTTGAAATTTAAATTAACGTCACGAATGACACGAGCACAGTACTAGCTTTCTTTCTTTCGAAGGCGCGAAATAATAAGATGGAGAAAGAGAAAGGTGGAGAAAAATTATTCATCAGCAGTAAATACAACGGGTGCGGCGGGGTTTAATTCCCGCGCGGCTCTCTTGTTTTTTGGCGGGCCGCGAGAGCCAGTGAGAAAAAGAGAAGGATCAGTTGGCGGAACGATAGCATTGCAAAAGTTCCACGGCATTTTCCTTTTTTTTTTTTTTTTTTTTTTTGACCCCCTTCCGACGTACGCCAATTTCGAAATTGCTGCTATGGCGCGAGTCGCGTACGCGACCAAACAGAGAGAAGGAGAATCCATTTCACCCCTCTGGCCACCATTTCGAACCGTTTTCCTGCCGTTTAATGCGTTTTCTCCCACCTTCCATCGCGAAGTTTCCGATGTTAATGGCACCAGGGGAATAAAATATACCTATACGCTCACTCTCTGTTTACTTTTATTGCCGTAGAGTGCACAAAAATGATGTCGTACGTCTTCAATATACACGAGTAATACAGAACGCAATCCTTAACCCGAGAAGAATATTTAACGTGACTTTTGTAAGATCAGTTTTCGGGGATCATAATTCAAAGTAAAAATATTACACCATAGAAACCCATATCTTGATTCATTACAAATAAGTAACAATCATAAAATTTTCCAATCATTTCGTCTTTCAAAAATTCATCTTTCCCTAATGGTTGTTTCTGTAAAAATTTGGAAAACATCAGTTAATTATAAATTAAAAAATCTGTCATATTATTATACATCGATATTTATTAATAAACAAATTGCCTCGATTATTTTTTCGTATTTTCACGTATTTCGCACTGGATTCTTTTGTTTTATAGTTAATTTTATAACTTTACTTATATATGTATATGTGACGTGTTGGATCGAAGTTGAACGATGCTTAACCTAAAACATTTCCTACGTCCCACCCCCCTCGGATCCACCGTAATCTCCCACAAACCACCTAATCTCATTCACCAGACTCGTCCGATTCCGCACTCCCATCGAATCCAGTGGCGTTTTGTTCGTCGATACCCTAATCCTTAATCGTAGTCGTAGGAAACGTGTCGGTGGTCACAGGGTGTGCCGAAATTACGCAACTTTACAGTCGATTGTCGTTCGCAGAGTACGGAACAATGGTGGTGAACGTTCAAAACGCGTGTCGTTACCACGTAAGGTGTGTGTGTGTGTGTGTGTGTGTGTGTGTGTGTGTGTGTGTGTGTGTGTGTGTGTGTGTGTGTGTGTGTGTGTGTGTGTGNTATATACACACTGTCTGTCGTTGTACCGCGATGCCAGACGCTGGATAAAAAGGAATAAACGTGGGCAGGCGGCCAGAGAATCCGCCTCTCCCCGAGATTCCTCTGCTCTCGCTGTCGATGACTCATGTGCACTGCTATCGTGGCCAAAAATATGCCTGGTGCCACGCTGGCGAACCATGACGAGAAGATTGACGAACAACGTGCCGCCACGACTCGCTCGATTGATTCGAGTAAAAGATTGATTCGACAGGGGATGTGCTGTTCGAAGAAGTTGCAATCGATTGATTGTTGGAAATTGCAATCGATTGGCCGTTGGAAGCTGTAATCGATATTTCTTACGTCTTTCTTAATTTTTTATATTCTTCAATTTAGATAGATCTTTGTAACAATATATGTCAGATTGTTAAAATGTTGGGAATTCCTCTCATTCTGTATTTTGTTATCAGACTGCCGGTTTTTGTCTTTCTTGTATTTTCAATAGCACAAGAAGAATCTAAACAGAAACTCGTTTCGTGTGCTATGTATAAAATATTTCAAGATATTTTATATATCTTTGCATGCAACTGCAATTCTTATTCGATGAATTCCATAAAAATCGTCAGTCTATTTATTATACATTCTTCTTCATGATGAAAATTCCAAAGTTAATTTTGCACGATCTTCAATATTCAGTGATATAAATTAAGAATTGAAAGTTGATCGATAATTTTAACTTTGAATTTAAATACTTGAATCTTTATTCCATAAATGTATTTTCTGTCGCTTTAAATCAAAATATGTGGGTCATCTACGTTTGACGCGTACATGTTTTAATATTTGAAAAATTTTACTCTCTGATCTTGTCTTCTTTAAACATATTATTAATTATTGCAATCATACTGGACATTTTTAACTATTCAGTAAAATTCTTGTGAAAAAGCGAGACTCAAGTTGCAAAGATTATTAAAATTAATTATAAAGATTATAAAAATGTATTAATTTATTAATTAAAATCGTAATCTTCTAATGAATGAGTTTCTAAAATAATTTTCGCTTAACTCAACAAATTATTTGTCACATTTTAAAGCTTCTTGGTATTATTCTTGGTATTATTCCGAACAAAAGTGGTCCACGTTCTCAGAATAAGGGTTAATAAATTGCAGATATATTTTGCATTCCTACTGAAAATATACACGTTTATGAAAAGCGTTTACCACATTTTGATTTTGCGTGATTACAGAACACGTTTATGAAAAGCGTTTACCACATTTTGATTCTGCGTGTATACAGATTTACGAGGCGAGCGTGCATTAATGCTGCTACCATGACGATAATCAGAGATGTAGACTGTAAACATTTCAAAAATAAACGATGGGGTGGGGTATGTATATCATTATAACACGGTATAACGGTAATTTAAGGTTTGTAAATTTTTCTTCAGAAAAATTCAGTGGCTGAATGAAGAGAGTTCAACAGGAAAGATTTTTACGATTCGTATATTTCAATCTGTGCCCCCATTCGAAAAGTTTGAAACAGTTAAACTCCTCTAACTCGATTCTGCCCGTTCCGTTTCTCCGAAAACTCTCGTTGAAGATCAAAACGTGCATTTTTCACTCTGTAATTTGCCTAGTTCAATAAAAAAAAGAAAAAAACAAACTGCTGTAATACGAATGGCTGATCTTTAACGATGAGTGCAACGACGAAGAATTAAATGGCTCGATTAAGACCCTTGTAACATCGCTCACGTGACACGCTCTCGTAATCGAACAAAACGTGAGGTCTTTACAGACGTAACAACGTTGACGATCGTTCGATAAACTTTTACAATGAAGGGGAACACGACATTTTGAACAAACCGCGGGTTTTATGAAAGACAGGCAATCTATTCGCGAAGCGGACACTTTGGCCACGATATTATATAAATATGCGACGGGCTTCACGAACGTAGGCCAACATATTGATCCATTCGTCGTCCTCGAAGGCAATGCGTACACGTCTCGCCGAAGGAAACGCAGAAGAATTAGGTAGCAGAATAAGACTTGTTGCGAGGTCAATTGCGAATGGCCACTGGGTTATTGCCAATGTGGCTGTTTTAAAACGTGTTTTATACGATTTGGTCGACGGTTAATGGGATTCGAATGATCGAATGATCGAATGAAAGCTGATAGCGAACGATTGATCATCGAAGGATTTCGTGTGGAAAATATCGGCTGAATTGTTACATCGGTGGCTCCCCCTTCGCGTCGCATTTTTGGCCAATCAATAAACGCGTCTATTACGAAGCGTCGAAAAAAGAAACGGGCCATTACAAGGTAGATCGATAAGTTTCTAGCGGCAATCGGGCCTTTCGTTCTACATAACGGGTTGCTCTTTTGGGATCGACCCGTCGAGCGAATCTGTTCACGGGACGTCACGCAACGAGCGACATAGAACGATCGACGCAGAATCGACCACGAAATGGCCATTGGATCGGCGATGTCGTTACGTCTTAGTCTAATCACTTTGACCTAAATTCCAGGCGCGTCGTCGAAAATAGGTCACGGAGAACGCACTGAAGAGGCTGTAACGGAAACTTCACGCACACTCGTCGCGTCGAATTTTTCCTCGCACGGTTATCCGTCATCGAGACAAGGGGACAATGAGAGACGAGGGAAGGAAAAGGGGAGGGTAAAAAAGCGAGAAAGATGCACTAAAGCGAAGGGTAAAAGCGACGTTAGAAGGTGAGAATGAAAAACCTGCAGTCGACTGACCTGATTCTCGGAGCTGAGCAGCTTCAGCTGTTCGTTGATCAGGCTGTACTTGGAACTCTCCTCTTTTCTCAGCGCTCTCTCCTTCTTGAGCTCGGGACTCCAGAAGGTCTTGATGCTGTGCATCGAGCTGCCGAGCTTTTGGTTCGTCAGCTCGAGCTCCTTCTTGAGGTTCCCGAGCTCTCGTTGGAGATCGTTGTTCTGATTTTGGAGTTCACCGATATAGCCACTGCTGTCACGCAGCATGTGCGGATTCGGGCTCTGTCTGGCCGATCTTGAACCGTACAGCTCATCTTCCAGGTAGAGTCCACGGTCGCGACTACGTTCACGGGGATCGCGTATCGGCACGAACTCGCGATCGTGATCGAGAAGACCCGCGGATGCACGATCGAGGCTGGTGTACCTCGCTGACATGCCCGCCGAGCTGGACATGGCGGGTCTCGAGGCGCTTCTGGATCTGTGATGTCCGCCCCCACCGCCCCCGGTCGACATACTCCTACCCCTCTCCTCGAGCATCACGGGACTGGCGAGGTCCTCGTCGCGGGAGTAGTACGGACTGCCCAGCTGATGGTGATGGTAGCTGCCGTATCCGAGGTGCTCCGGCGAATTGTTTCCGCTACGAGTGCCTCTCTTACGACCCAAAGGACTGCCCCGACCGCTCGCATAGCTTCTCGATGGGCTACGGTCGACCGTGGGCAGCTCGCCCACGCGACGACCGCTTCGAGGCGAACGAGTGCCACCTCCTGGCCCGACTACTCCGCTTCCGCTTGAGTACGGATCCCGCGACATTGTATACCTGCTATATTCTCCTATATAATTTCTATCAATCGTTCTCCTCCCGGTTCGTAATGGTTCGTAATGGTTCGTAGTTGGCGCGAATGTTCCTTCCGCCTTCTCGTGGGGGATTCCGTGAGATTGATCGCTACGTCTCTACGCTTCGCTGCTGCTCCTCAGATAACTCTACGATTACGTATCGTAATACTAAATTGGTCGGTGCTTTTTCTCCACGATGCGAGTTGTTTGTTCAAGTGCGTCGAGAATTCCCTAATTCGTCGAGTTTCTCTAATTTCTCTTCCGTTCTCCTCTTTTTCTCTTTTCTTTTTTTACTTTTCCCTTTTTAGCGATTTCTATGATTCCTCCGTCCTACGCGATTCACGTTGATCTATCGTTACCTCTCGCGGATCAGCTATCTCCGAGTGTATCTCGCACAGCGCGTTTCGCGTTTCAGGCACGTGCGCCGATCCTCGATGATCCGTTTCGATCGTTCTTCTATGCCACGGTGCCCATCTAATCGAGCGCCGATCCGTTGTTAGAGTTCTTCGCTTTCGTCCGAATTTTCGACGCAACGTGGTCCCGAATCGGTTTGGCAGCTCTTCTAATCTACGCGAAAATGTACGTCCACGAGCGGCGAGCATTGACAACAACGCCTAACGCGTCGATCGAACAGAGGTTCGGCGATCGATCGGCTTCATCGTACGTACGACAGATCCACCTTGATCAAATCGAATCACCGGCAGGCCACAAATTCTCTTTCTCTCTCTCCCTCTGTCTCTTCCTCTTTCTTTCTCTCCGTTTCTTTCTCTTGCTACTCCTCGCCGATCCACCTTCTCGCTGGAAAGCCGTGCTGCACGCGTGGCTTGTCCCGTGTATGCGTGAGGTCACGACCCTCGTACTCGACGATCGATCTTTGACCTTCTTTCACCGGTAAAGCCCATCGAGTGGAAATGGATAGAGATCGAGGGGGAGAGAGAAAGAGAGGAGAACGATTCCTTTTTCGCGACGAATTCGTGCTTCACCGGCTGGCTCACCGTACCGATATCCTCCTCCTTTATCTTTCCTCTTCCTCCGTGTCTCTTCCGATCTCTCCTCTCTCCCTCGCCCTCCGTCTCGCGAATCCTCCGGACGGATGCCTCGCCGTGTTCGTGTCTCGGTGTCCAGTCGCGAGAACCGACTCTCTTCCGTGAAACCCTTTGCCAACACGGGGCCGGAGCAGAGCGGTTGGGGCGCGTGCGTGCGTATTTTACGCGCGTCTGTTTACCAGCCGTGTGTCTACACGCGCCGCGGCGTTCCCGTTTCGCAAAATCCGTACCACTTTGACTCCCTTCTTATCGATCTCATCCTCGCCTCTGTTCTCTTCGGTCCCGTGATCGTCTCGCCTCCACGTTCCGTTGTTCACGTTCCTCTATATTCTTCCCTCTCCTCACGCCTCCTTTCTCTTTCTACCTTACCTTTTCCTCCCTCCCTCTCTCTCTCTCTCTCTCTCTCTCTCTCTCTCTCTCTCTTCCTCCCCCTCTCTGTCTTCGTACCCTCCTCGTCACCGACCACGACGACGATCACGGCGCCGACGACGACGACGACGACGACGAAGACGACGATCTACCGACCGATCCGACCTACCGCCCGAACCGCCACTATCCACCATCCACCACGACTCGACACCGCCACACTTCCGTGCACCACTCTCTCTCGCTACCTGCTACCGCCACCAACCTCGCCGACGCTGCCACCGCTGCCGCGCACACACCTATGTGCCCTCTCTCTCTTTCACCCTCGGACTCGCCCTTGCTCTCGCCTTTCCTTCCGTACACGTATACGTACACATGCACGCTCGTGCTCGGTCGTACACCCCCGTCTTCACACGAAACGAGAAAGCGTGGTCGCGCGCGATAGTATCCTCGCGTATTATCCTCGTGAGTACGACGGATCTGTCCTCCGTCAGGATCGGAAGCGTGCTGTTTCGTTCTCGGAGGCGACGCGCTCGACCGGCCGGATCGGTGACCACACGCCTCAACACCACGCACTCACGGGACTAAACTGTAACCGCTAGCGAACCACCCTTTCGTTTCACCATCGCCGGCTGCCTCGTTCCTTCCTTCTCTTCTTCTCTTCTTCCCCCGACTCCTCTCTCTACATACGTTTTCCTACTCTAGCTCTACTCTACTCTCCTCTCTCCTCTCTTCTACTCTACTCTCCGCTCCTCTCCGCTTCTCTTCTCTTCTCTTCTCTTCTCTTCGCTCCTTCGGGTAAAAGCGGCGCGCACGCTGCCGAGCCTCTCTCCTACCCCCTACGTGATCACACGAGCACGTCGCCTCGTGTACGCACGCCACTACGATTCCCACTACCACCACCGGCTACTACTACTAGCAGCGATTAAGTGGACCGCGTCGGCAGCGCCCTCCGTCGACGTCATCGACGTCGTTACGACGGACTACTACTATCGCGAGCACGAGCATCACGCGCCGCGTTGTTCGCTCGATTCCTCGCGCTCACCCCCACCGCACACCCCTCCGGCCATATTCCCCGATCATCCTCGCCCCACCAGCCTCGTTTCTTGTCTCTCCCTCCTGCGCAGACGAACGACAGCAGCGCGCGCGCAGATCCATGCCGGGTCGACGGATGATTTTTGGACCAGCTCCGGACGATTCGAAGGCTTACGTTTCCTCTTCCTACGGGTTTTGTTTGCCTATCCGCTCTCTTCTGCCGGATAGAAGGGGAGCGGCCTCTAATGGGAAAACTTTGTCCGAAGGAATTTCACGGAGACACCCGTCGTCCCTTCCCTTTTTTTTTTCTTCCTCCCCTCGGTTCGGCAGATTTTTGTTTTCGCCTCTCTTCTCGGGGTGAAAGATCTTACCCGGGGGGGTTATTGTAACTTCGGCGGTTCGAATTTGTTGTTTGGACGCATTCGTTCGATTCCCATGTAAGAGGGATTATTTCGTTTACGGGGTCCTCGAGCATTGGGAATGAAAAATTTGCAAGATTCATCCGTGAATGAGCTCGGTCACAGGGTTGATCGACGTGTCCTGTATCCACCGGTGAAAAATGATGAGAACCGCCGCGAATTCGTTTCGTTGCGATTGTCAATGGTTCGTGAATGAAGAGTCAAAGGCTGATAAACGCAGCACCGGCTCGCGAGTGGTGGCGAATCGGCCGAGGCGCCCCTGCCCAAGAACGAACGTCGATATCGATTCGTCGTTCGTTTTCCTTTTTCTTTCTCATCCTTCTGTAGCTTCTCAGAATTTTCCCAAACGTCGACCTTTATTACTCGTTTTTCGACAGTAGCTTTATTAAAAATCATTGTCGATGTGGAATTCAGCAAAACGTAGGCTTACGTGATTTTTAATTTCTTCGTCCAACGCGACGTTTCGCAAAGTTTCGAGTAGCGAAGCTCGTTTCCTCGCGCCTAGAGGTATTCAAAATTTCTTTGAGAATCTTTGACGCGAAAATTTTTGAATGGAAACACTCGAACGTGGCACCCGGCTTTTGTGACGCGTTCCTGAGTACACGTTCCACTTCGCAGCCCCTCGTCTCACCCCCCTGGCGACCGTCGACCCGGCGTACGACATCGCAATCAATGAAGCTACGATTCACCGAGCAGTGCCGTGCCGTCAACTGGCACCTACAGTTTCAGTTTCACGAAACCTGGCACCTCGTAAATTTTCCCCGTGATAATTCCCAATAACTCCGTGCAACGTACAAATGAACGATCACGCATCGAAATAAATCAAGCGAAAGGACGAACATTCCCTTCCAACGAGTTTGTTCGATCGAGAGAATTGGAGAAAACGAATTCACATTGGAATTTTCAGGGTGCTTCTGTAATATCAGATCGAATAATCGACGTTCGACCTTTGAAACTTTATCTTCTCCAGGGGGCGAGAGGGGGGAGGGGGGGGAGGGATAGGTTACGGGCATTGTTGCAAGCTCACGTATCGATTCGCGTGGAATTGGGAAATTGTGTTATTCTCGGACGGAGAGAATTTAGAGCAGAGAAACGTGTCTCGGTTGAGAAAAGTTGGGAATCGTTGTCGCGGCTCGTGGAAGGCGAGGGAAATGCGCAAGCCCGTGTTTTACGATCGGGCTAGCGGCTTCTTTGACAACGCCAGACGCCAGGGAAAAGCCATCCCTTCGCGTTTTTCATTCCTTCGCGTTCCATCCTAATCTCCGAGGGTGAACCCGTCATCTTTGAATTCCTGTTTTCTTCTCGCTAACTCCTGTTTACCTAATGACTCAACGTCTGAAAAGACCCGTCGAATAACAGGGAACCCCCCCCCCCCCCTAGAACATAGAAATCTAAAGAAACTTTCGTGGCAACATTGTTGCACGCAGTTTGACATCAGGGATCAGCTGGCGCCACTAGCGAGGTTAGCTCTTTCCGGTTCGAATTAATTCCAGTGCTATACCAGACTCATAAAAATGAAATTTAAACGAGTTCTTGTAAATTTTCTTTTCTTTTGCATTATTTCTTTTCTATATTATTACATATATTTATTATTATTATTATCGTGCAAGGTAATCGAAAAATTGAAACATCGTTTAGGCAAATTGATATTTTCGCAAATAATTAATGTGAGCCAAAAGGGAATACTATGATGTGTAGTTTGCCTCGAATATTTTATATATTTTTCACTATTACGTGCGCTTTGCAAATTTTCGCATCTTGAAATTCTTCATAGCCGCGCAAACATCCGCAATCTTCATTGTTCATTATATTCTATACATTTTAAATTTTAATTTTAGTTTCCCTTATACTTTTGTGGTTGTTGGTAACGTCAATAGGAAGGGAGAATGAATCTGTCACGAGAGAAATAATTTTATCTCTGTGCATATGTTTTTTACGCGAAAAAGAGCGTAAAAAAATAACAGGAGTGGTGAATATGGTCTCGCGTCATTCGATGATAATCGCGATGATCTATCGGCATCCGCTATCGCGAGCTCTAAGCGATCGTCGACCTTTGCACTCCGATGCCTCGCCGCTCCGATATTGACCGACGATATCGCGAGCAGATCACGCTTGGTTGAACTTCATTCTCCAATTAATTTAGACACGATAGGCGACGTCGTCTCCCATTCAGAAGGGCCGTATTCATAATACGACGCCGGTGTGTGCATGCACCTCGTCCGAGTGCGTAGCGCGCTTCCTTTCAATTTTGATTCAACCGTGACGAAAAATGTCGCAATTGTGAAAATTTAATTTAATTGTGGGAATTTCAACTGTTAGATAAACGATTAATTTTAATTAAATTTCATCTTCAATGCATTATCAATAAAATCAAAGTTATCTTCAGTAATTACAATGAAGTATCATTCTTATCTGTTTTAAGATAAAACCGATGAAAAGATCAATCACGACAAACGAGAGATATCGACAAACATAATTTTTCCATAATTTACCGACATCTGATTAAAATCTCACGTGGAAGTTTTGGAATTTCGTTGCATGTATTCGCGCATATACTATACTATGCTAATTGCTTTGAATTCGTGGTACTCTTTTAGAATAGAATGTTGCGAGGTTTCTTTTTATTTCATTGGCAATATTATACATAATTATCTCGAGGAACAGGTTCCCTTTCGAACTGCAGCAGTTCCACGACTTTAGAAATCCTTCCATTCCGTTTTTGGCCGAAATAGCTTTCTCTCGTCGCCCTGAAATTTTTGCGAAATACGGATAAAATGTATTTGTCGAAAATTGATTTCATCAGTTTGCACACGTACGTTCCACCTGTGTGAGAATTCACACAGTGTCAACGTTCCGTCAACCGGGCGACCAGGTGATCAACAGTCCTTGTCTTTGTCCGCGACAGCGACCGCTCGTCTGCTGGAAGAAGTTCGTTTAAGGACGCAGTCGAACCGTGGACTGGTTGTTCCCACTTGACCGTGAGCCACGCCGCCGAGGCGAAGTGATGAAAGTTAAGTGGCGCAGCCTAAGGTCGTTACCACTCTCGTTACCGTACGCTTCGTTCTCTGCGTTCAGTAGACGATGACCACTCGCTGGCGTCGCGTCGCATCGTTCCTCCAGCCGAATACCAGCTTGTAGACCGATGGACATGTGGGCCAGATCGCCGATGTCGTTCCTGCTGCTGGGATGGGCGTCGTGTCTGTTGGTCCAGAGTGTTCACTCGTTGAACCCGGACGCTGGTCCTTGGGTGCTGCCCACGCAGGGCGAACCTTGGCCCCATCCGAATCTCCGTCGCATGAGCCAAGCGTTCTATCTTCTGCGTGCCTCGACCTTCCAGTTTAACGTGAGTAATTGAAGAGGTGATCGCGCGGGAGGACACTTCCTTCAACGCATGGGTACGATCGGTATTCTACGATCTCTGGCCCTCCTCATCTCTTTGGATATCTTCGTTTCTTATTTTCTTTCTCTTTTCTTGCAAACACTCGCGAAAAGGCGCGAAATATAACCAAAAGGACGTTGGATATCAAGACGAAATGTTTAATAATGTTTATTAAAGCACAATGTCTATTCTCGAGTTTAGAATTCGAAATTGGGAACCGAATTTCCCAAATTTTCCAGTTCACTGACTATCCAGTATCTTGTTTGTAATTATGACAGTCTTCTGATAATAGAATTTGTAATAGAACAAAGCGCACTAATTCTCTCTATTGGTTAAAAACATTTGTAGAAAGCGATTGACCATTTCGTTTTGTTGTCTTATCTTTTATTTGAACTTTTGCTGCTTTCAATGCTATCCGCGGTTTTTTTTACACGTACACAGATAGCTCGCCGTGTCATTATCTCCAATACACGCTGCGCGTATGCTTTATCTGTCTGTTATACAAGGAAAACACGAGACCAAGGGGATTCCTTCCTTAATTACTTAGTTTAATTGACAGTTAACAAGTTTTTTCCTTTATTGTGTGTCGTGCAACTACGACGAATAATATCGCGAGGATAAATCGCGTGATCGCGCAGGTGATCGGCGAGACGTGCGATATCATGACGGATGCGGTAGAAAGGTACAAGGCGATCATTCTAACGGAGGCGCGAATAGCCAAGATCTCGTCGCAAGGGCATCCGAGGTCGCCGGTAAGGGACGACGGAACCATTAAAGGTACCCTTAACACTTTGGACATTCGTCTAGGAGAGTCTTGCGAGAAGGATGGCAACCACTGGCCTCATTTGCAAATGTCGGAGTCATGTAAGTCCTCTTGCTATAGCGGGAAACATAATTAAAAGGCAGAGTAGAGTATTAGACGTGCACATGTTTAATAAGACAGACACGTTTCCGAACTGGTCGTTCCGTTGCTAAAGCCATTGAGATAGCTGGTAAGTGGATTAGTGTCAACGGATCTCATCAAACGATATCATCTTCGATTCGTAATACTGAATTTATTTCAACATGCTGATTCATCGACGATACAGTTACAAGATTGCGAAAGCTTCGAGATGCAAGATGCTTTCGAGCACAGAGAAGCCTCCCATGTTCCGAATCCCCATTGTTCGAATTTGTATTACAGTATCTGTGAATCTGTGAATTTTTATGCATTTATGAGAGATATGAAAGAGAAAAAATATAGAAAGGAAGGAAAAGAAAAATATATAAAATAGTAAGTATGGGATTTAGGGGATTTCCAATGATCTTGACCTTTGCATATGTTACAAAGATCATCTTCCTGAACTGAAGAGAAATTGCTCTTTTGCAGTTTCATCGGTTGTTTGTTGAAAAGTTAGACGATTTCAATGATTTTGAAATATATTGTAGAGATCAACATTTTGAAATCAACATCTATCGGATTTGTTAGTAAGCAAGGAACAAGTTCTTTTCATCTCTTAAACGTATAATTTTTTTTTTAAATTGTAAATTTAGAATTAATGATATAGAAAATGTTGCAGATTTGCAAGGGCTGTGTATTTAAAGAGATATTAATTTGGGCTTGGCATTTGCGAAATTAATGAAGTTATTCGAAAATATTAACAATAATAGTTATCTTGTCTTATACTAAACTATTTTACACTGTTTTATTACATGTTTTATGCGTTTCTTTTATAATTGCAAGAAAAATTTGCAAAAATATGAGATTTTACTAGAAGAACAGTATGAAACATGAAATATTATTATGTATTATGTATTATTAGTATTACGTTTCATGAAACAATATGAAACATGAAATATATTAAATAATTTATTAAACAATTTTTCCACAAACAAAAATGATGAGAATGTGTTCCCTTACACTGAAACAAAAGACGATTAGAAGCAGAGGAAGAATGCTAAAAATCAAAAAAGATATAACATTCTCATAATATTGAAATAAATGTTGCGATAAATGATATGTGCGATTTAATATCAAAACAGGGTTCTTATTGTTCTAACTAATCAAACATTAGTTCGGTCAGTTTGGATCCCATTACCCCGTTAGTTCGGATATGAAAGGCTCCACTGTATTTCGGAAAGTGTAGATATTAGAAAGATGCCGTTTAAAGATACGCGAATAAACGAGTCAGTAGGATGAACGATTGAGACAAAGCTACGTTATGAAGCCTGATTTTATTTAATCGTTCCTTTTCGAGCTGAGTTTCGAGGTCGAACCGAATGATTAACCAGAAATAGAATAAAGATCACACGCACGTTCTATCACTATTTTAGAGGATTTAAGTCTTTTTCACGCGTCACTTATGTCTCCTTCGCTTTTTTTTTTTTTGAATGAAACGAACGAGTCGTGATAAGTAATCTGTAAACTTCTTTATGGAGTTTCAAGTTCACGTAATTGGAGATTGAAAAGAATTTTAAATGTTACTATATTTTTTAACCCTTTATATTCTGGTAGTATTTAACAAGTATCGCTTTATATAGATGCTTGCAAAATCTTCAGTGTGACAACAATTCTTCTTGGTACTTGAAAAGAGATACACTCCTTTATCCGTTTACCAAACGAACTATAATTCTTTTTCCTATATTTACAATATTCCAAAAGTTATCTAAATCTACAAATTTAATTTAAAAAACCATCATGGATAATTTAATTCAATATAAAGGGTTAACCATTAATTGAAAGACCTGCTTCTCTGGGACAAATTGAAACTCGAACAAATTGAAATTTTTCAGATACTCTCATTATCAATGAAACCTCTACGGTCGCGAATCTAATGGCTGAGTCGATATGGGGAATTCTTCGAGGTCTCGAGACATTTTCTCAACTCTTAGCCCCAGCTGGCGATAGTTCTAACGTAAGTACATAGAATATTAATAAATGGAGAGCTCAGAAATTGATCAGTGTAAGTTATTTTTGTGTCAAAAAATTAATTATTCATTTGCTGAATTAAAATAAAATCAAAGTGATAAAAATTGATTTATCTTAACAGTGATTAACATCAATAATTAGTGATTATGATCACATTCTGTAACTATCATAAAAAAAAAATCAATTGACCCTGATTCAATATATATGAAATATAATGATCTTACATCGATTGACATCAAAGTCCTCTAAATATATATATATATTTTGAGGACTTTGATGTCAATCTACTTTGATGTCCTCTAAATATATATATACATATATATATATATATTTATATATATATATATATATATATATATATATAAATATCACAAAAACATGTTTCTTACCTAGTTAAAAATAAGATGTCAGACCATCGTGGATCGACCGATGCTTCCTCATCGTGGACTCTTATTAGACACGTCTCGTCATTATTTGCCTATCTCTGACATAATGCTTACGCTGGACGCCATGTCTTACAATAAAATGAACGTTCTCCATTGGCATATTGTCGACGACAATAGCTTCCCCTATCAGAGCTCCAGTTATCCGGATTTGTCCGCCAAGGGAGCGTACCATCCCTCAATGGTATACACGTTGAACGACATTCAGAAGATTGTCGACTACGCTAGGCTAAGGGGCATTCGAGTGATGCCGGAATTCGATACTCCAGGACATACCAGGTCATGGGGTTCAGCCTACCCTGAACTATTGACCACTTGCTACGGTAAATACAGAGTACAGTGACGTTTTAAAAAGAGATTTAAAATTGGTACTTGGGTATACGAACATTAGTACTTTTGTGCTAAGATATCTTTTACCACTTTGGTAGTATGTAATTCATTTGAAGACGACAAATTGCGTTTCTGCTTGTTCATGTGAAAGCAATTTTAATTCGACGATTTAAAGCAGAATGAGAATTATACATGTTATAAAATGAATTGCATGCTACGTATTTAACGAGGACTACTAATTATAACTAAATTTAGATTATTACGCAGTTATTGTTCATAATTAATTTTTAATATCATGAACGAAAAATCAAGACCGATTTATTCATTCGTCGTGAACAGTGGTTCAGATTCGTTCGTGGATGTCTAACTCTAGTGACGGAGTGTCTAATTTCTTTGATTCGCGGGTGTATTTATGGTGTTGACACTTAGGTGCGGCTTTGTCTCCGAATCTAAATTTCTAAAGCGCCGTGCAGGCGTATGCAAAGCGCGACAAAACGCGATTTGATTTATAAATCAAAATCAAAGAGACTTCTAAACTGTCACGTGAAAATGTTACTAGATAAAGGAAAGCCAAACGGTAAATTGGGCCCGATGAATCCAACGAAGCCGAATCTGTACGAGTTCCTTCGTCACCTATTCGCCGAGATCGTACAGGTATTTCCGGATCAATACGTCCATCTAGGTGGCGACGAAGTGCCATTCGATTGTTGGAGGAGCAATCCAGAGATCAGTGCGTATGTGAAGTCGCGGAACATATCCAGGTACGAGGTTCTCGAGAGCGAGTTTATCGGCAAGCTTCTTCAGATCACGAATTCTCTTCAAGCGAGCACGATCGTGTGGCAGGAGGTGAAGTATCTCCAATGCTGTTTTTATCTTAAATTTATCTTAAGGTGTGTCTCCATTGAGTCACACCTTAAGATAAAGGTCACGAACAGTTCATCGTCATTTGTTTGCGCGTAGTTTCGTTACATGATACTTCGTAGTTCACGTAAAAATCTGTTTTTGAAAAGAAAATATCTTTTCTTTTTCTGTCTTCATTCACAGATGAATTATTGTTAGATGAATATATGTTAGATTATACATAACTACAGTTAGATTACGAAAATTTAGGAAGTTTAATTTTATTTCGTGTTTTACACTTTGGGAAAATTAATCTTAATCTTAGGAGTATAATTACATTAATATTAAACATTTCAAATTAAATTTAAATTGAATTTTAAATCAGGTAATTTAACTTTTATTTGTTATCGTCACGATCGGGCCTAATAATAACAGCTGACTAAGTCAAAATTGAAATTTAATTTTATAATTAAATGATTTAATTTTCAATTATATTATGATTACAATCATGTTTAATGAATGTATGAAATTTCACGGATATATTGGGACTTCTGATTGATCTTGCAAGCAGGATATTGGAATATTCTTCAGTTAAGGACTTGAAGGATAAATGACACGTTGAATCAGAAATAAAATCTACGAATTGAGATCTGAATCGTTGAATTTTCAGGTATTCGAGAATGGAGTCGTCATGCCGAATGACACGGTCGTTCACGTGTGGACAGGCAACTGGATGAAAAAATTGGAAAATGCTACCAAGGCTGGCCATCCAGTGCTGTTATCAGCCTGTTGGTACTTGGATCACCTTGCTAGTGGTGGTGACTGGAGGAAGTACTACAAATGCGATCCAATGTCATTCACCGGAGCCGCAAATGTAACTCATTTGATGTTGGGTGGTGAAGCTTGTATGTGGGGAGAATTTGTCGACAGGTAATCATTATTCTATCACAAGGTATTCTACTGGAAATGTAATTATATTTCGCGTACAAGATGAGGCAACAGCTTTCAAGCATTCCTCTGTGTCAACAAACAAATGTTCATTCATCAAACAGACGTTTACATGTCGTTTTGGGAAGGAATTGTTGTTACATTAAAATGATATAAGCGGTTTTTAAAAACTGTTAGAATGTAAACAGCGTCATTGACTTTCAGTAATAAATTTCTCCTCGAATGGGTAACGAAGCAATTGACATTCTCTTTTTTTTTTAGAAACAATGTGCATCCAAGAATATGGCCTCGTGCTAGTGCAGCCGCAGAACGTCTCTGGACTATTTCGAAACAAGATGAGAACAAGGCTGCCCAACGTCTCGAGGAACATGCTTGTCGCATGAACAGACGTGGAATCCCGGCGCAACCACCGAATGGACCTGGATTCTGCGTGATGTAACAAAAGGACAATCGAGAAATTAGTTCGCTAAAGCGCTTGAGGATATGTTTGCGCGCGTTTGAGACACACGTTATACTTTAACGAGTGATTACTTAATGGTTATTTACAGAAAAACAATCGCAATGTAATTAAGAATAAAACGTTTCGAACAGTTCTTCGTCCGATGAATATTAAAAAAATTTTTAATGTATCTGGATAGATCAGTCACGCATTTCGTAAGGTTAAATTAATTTTCGTTATTAATCACAGTTGATTTAATAGTTGAAATTTAGACAGTTCTCTTTTGTTCGTTGAGTATTATTTTCTGAATTCAAGATGAGAGTTCTTAACGCAGAAAAATCGTCTATATTTAGAAAAAAAAGGAAGTGGATGAAAAGTACAGTAATTATTTGGAATCATGGCTACCTCACCGATTGCCGCAGGCATAATTCTAAGTACTTTTCATTACATACATAATCACGAAGAGAACAAGCAATTTTTTCGATAAAAATATCTACGAAATATTTATCTTTGAATATCTGTTCTGATTACAATTTTAAATATTTTATTAAATATTATCATTTTCGAAATTGATGGGCATTTGGAAAGCAATATAAATTTAAAAAAGGTCGATGTGAGGAAACTGACTCTTAATACATATTTTATGATGATTACCAACACTGTTGGTAAAAACAATTTTTCAACAGTATAAATAATTAAATAATGCCATAAGATGAAAAATTAAATAACTAAGACATGTTAAGAATTAGAAGTCAGAAATTTGTGAAAAAAGATCATACGGTGTACGGTCGAAAATCTTTATTGAATTATAGAAAACACACAGTCGGATAATGCGGACGTAAAGTACAAATATTTTACATTTAAATAGTAATTATTAATTACAGTTAAGTAGTAATTATCTTTTCTTTCTTTCCTCTTTACTTTTCTCCTCTGTTATTTCTCCAACGATCTTTATCCGTTTTCTTTAATTAATACCAATATCTCATTTCACACAATGTGAAGTACAATTAAAGATAATATAAATATCTCAATAAATAATCATTATTCTTAAGCGGCCGTTATCTGTTTGCTTTAATTAATGTCAACATTAATTAATATCATCATTTAATTAAATACACTTCTACATAATATAAACATCTTTATAAATAATCATTATTTTCTTTTTGAATTGGATTTTACGATTATCAAAGATGATATGCATTAATTTAATTAATTTTTATGTACAATTGTCGAATTACCAATTAATTAAAAATAACAAATTACCGCTTAGTTAATTAAATAAATAAATTCCAATTAGTTAATTACATAAATAAATTCCAAGTAGCGATGCTTTTATGTTGTTTTCCCGCTGAGAAGGAACAAAATGATAGGAGTGTGCGAAAACTCGAAAATATCGGGAACCCGATGGGCGGGACGAGTCGGGAAGAGGTCGGGTCGGATGCCCGAAAATTTCAAAATTCCTGAAGGAATCGGGTTTCCCGAAAAAATCGAGATTCCCGAAAATTTCGAGAACCCGGCTACCGTTTCTCGAACTACTCTACAATGTTGTATAGCAGCCTACAAAATATGTAAATACACAGTTCAATTTCTTCTACCAGTGAAGTTATTGGAAACACGGATTCTAAGAGTCGTGTGACCTGATGTAAACGAACGTGTGACTGCGTGCTTAGAACTTGGACATTATGTATGCTGTTGATCACTATCGTTGAGAAACTCGGGCAGCTCAGACGTACATTTCAAAATCTGTGTGAATTTAATAAAGATTAAAAATCTTTAAAAAGAATGTCGAGTGATAGTGAGAGTAAAGTTGTGATAGCAGGAAGTAGTACAGGAGATATCGTGCAAAGGAAGAAGGTAAAGAGAAGCTCTGTTTGGGAACATTTTCAGGAAAAAATGATACAAAGGAGGAATGCACACATTGTCACTATGAATTTAAAACTAAGTATGCAAATACTACTGGTTTATTACGCCATTTGAAGCATAAGCACATCCAAACATAAGTACATGTACTAGAAAAGAAACTGAATCGATATAAAATTTGTCGCGTGTACAAAATGATACGCGAAAGATTGTTAAATCAAAAAATATAACAGGAGGAATTGCTCGAATGATGGTTTTAGATCTGCGATCTTTCGATATAGTTGAAGGTGTCGGCTTTAACGAATTATTTATTCTTGTTACCAATCCTTTCCCGAATTCCAACTCTTTCAGCAATCCCGGCTCTTTCGAGAATCCCGGTTCTTTCGAGAATTCCGACTTTTTCGAGAATCTCGATAAATTCGAGAATCTCGAAATTTTCAGGTACCCGTCCCGATCCCGAAGAAATTTCGTATTCCCGATCCGACCTGATATTTCGGATTTGTCGCACACCTCCATGTAACTTCTATATTTTTCACAAAATCAGACTACGTTTGCACATAAAATTCTGTTGACATGTACTAAATTCTAATTTATAAGTCTGTGACATATAGTACTAATTTATATAGAAAATAATTATATTATGTTCAAAAATTAAGTTAGTCGTCTCTTAAGAATAGTTATGCAAGTAAGAAAGCGTTCACGTTTAATTCAATAAATAATTTTCGGTGAAGATGTAATAACATTAGTAATTTTACATACTATCATTAACGTCGCGGTGCAAAACTTGCCTAAATCGACATTGTAGAATGTGATACGGAAATGTTGGTCAGGTGATCTCGAAAGCATAGAACACGATAAAGCATTGGATATCGAATCTATTCTAGTTAGTCAGTGCTCGTATTGCTTATCAGTACGTTAACATCTCAGCGAGACCGGAACGAGTCGCGGGAAAAATAAGAAAGAAAGAATGACCGCGAAAGAGGTCGAGATGTCAGAACGATATTCATGCATTGACAATCAGTTTCCATGGAAAGTACACTTTCGAATAATGAAACGTTTTTACTGTCGTGAACGCATGTTCATCGTAAGAAGTCACGAAACGCTTGTAGTACAGCTCCCTCGTAACCGAATTATTTTATATCGGATTCCTCGCGATGGGGTTCTTCGAAACCACTGGAGTCGAATTACAAAGGACGGTAGATTACAAGAATCGAACTTCGTCTTTTCGGACGAAGCTGCAGTTCCCCGACTTGGCACCCCAACAACGAAATTTGGAAAATCTACTTTAGTGCAATATCACTAACAATAGTAACAACGAATGAAAGAAAAGCGGAGAGAAGATGTCCCTAATTTCGTTTCGACTTAAATAAACGTGTCTTTCTACAGAATGCGCTCACAGTGAATTTACAAATACTAATTATCTTATAATTAACTAAAACTAAACGCACGCAACTTAAAACTAAACGTACGTAACTTAAAACTAAACGTACGCAACTTAAAATTAAACGTACGCAACTTAAAACTAAACGCACGCAACTTAAAACTAAACGCACGCAACTTAAAACTAAACGCACGCAACTTAATACTAAATGTACGCAACTTAAAGCTAAGACACACGCAACTTAAAGCTAAAACGCACGCATCTCACGATGTCCCTGCGAGATCCCTCGTCGTCCATCGGTGGCCCCCTGGGGTGGCCCAATAGTTTACTTATCAACTAATTGTACCTACAGTTCAGTTTAGATCGTGAAATAAAGATTAGACAGAAATTTTCACCATCTAAACTGAACTGTAGGTTGCGTAGTTCTTAGCTTGATATCATTTCACAAACATTAAAGTTCGCAAAACTTTAACGTTTGTAAAAAGATATCAATTACCAGGTCTCACCACGAGGAGGTGACTACGCACGAGACCCGCCCGGGCCCTAATCCCAACCACCCTCCATTACATGCAAATAACTCGGCATTCTTAAGGAATGCCGAGATTTTATTCTATTTGGCCCGGGATTACGAACAAAGGAAACAGACGTTCGATAGTTCAATCTCAAAACTTAAGTCTATATCTTAACTCTAAAGCGCATGTATGAGATTAAACTATGGAACTCTGTCTCCCGAACAACGATCGCGTTAACAACCATACAATACATACAGTCATACAATCATACATTACATACATTCATACGTTACATACATTGCATACAAGCATACATTACATACATTACATACGATCATACGTTACATACATTGCACACAATCATACATTACATACAATCATACGTTACATACATTGCATACAATCATACATTACATTGAATCATACATTACATACGATCATACGTTACATACATTGCACACAATCATACATTACATACATTACATACGATCATACGTTACATACATTGCATACAATCATACATTACATACATTACATACAATCATACTTTACATACGAATGCAAATCATACACACAATCGCTCGCAGCCTTTCATACTAACCACACACTCGTCTAACATGAATGTTACATAATAATTGTACAATAATTCGCAGCCCTATCAGCGCATTTTGTATCAAAGACACGTTTATCGTACTGTCAACGAAATAAGGGTAGAGTAACTATCGACACGGTTTATCGTGCTCTGCAAGGGATATAACGCGAAATGAAACCGCGGTTTGTTACTGTCATTGCACTAGAGTAGAGTTTCCAACTTTCGTTGTCTGTGCCAAATCGGGTTTCGAGCATTTAAAGGCAAGTAGTCTTGCGCTACCCTCAACAACACAGTGGGGTTCCGAAGAACCGCTGAGCCGTATTACAAAGGACGCTAGACTACAAGAACCTACCTCGTCCTTTCGGACGAGGCTGCAGTCCCCCGATTTGACGAACTAACAACGAAAGTTGGAAACTCTACTCTAGTGCAATGACAGTAACAAAAGTAACTCTACTTTAGTGTACTGACAGTAACAAAAGTAACTCTACTGTAGTGCAATGACAGTAACAAAAGTAAATCTACTCTAGTACAATGACAGTAACAAAACTTTCTCTACTCTAGTGCAATAACAGTAACAATAGTAACAACAAACGAAAAAAGAGAAGAGAAGAGAAGGTGTCCTTAATTTCATCTCAAGTTTAATAAATGTGTCTTTGTACAGAATATGCTCACAGTGAATTTTCACATATTAACTATATTATGATTAACTAAAACTAAACGCACGCAACTTAAAGCTAAGACGCACGCACCCCACGATGTCCCTGCGAGATCCCTCGTTGTCCCAGTTATTAATTATCTTATAAGTAACTAAAACTAAACGCACGCAACTTAAAACTAAGACGCATACATCCCACGGTGTCCCTCCGAGATCCCTCGTCGTCCATCGGTGGCCCGCTGGGGGCCCAATAGTTTACTTATCAACTAATTGTACCTACAGTTCAGTTTAGATCGTGAAATAAAGATTAGACAGAAATTTTCACGATCAAAACTGATCTGTAGGTTGCGTAGTTCTTAGCTTGATATCATTTCGCAAATATTAAAGTTCGCAAAACTTTAATGTTTGTAAAAAGATATCAATTACCAGGTCTCACCACGAGGAGGTGACTACGCGGGAGACCCGCCCGGGCCCTAATCCCAACCACCCTCCATTATATACAAATAACTCGGCATTCTTAAGGAATGCAGAGATTTTATTCTACTTGGCCGGGGGGGCCAACAAAGCAGACAGACGTTCAATAGTTCAATCTCAAACTTAAGTCTACATCTTAACTCTAAAGCGCATGTATGAGACTGAACTATCTCCCGAACAACGATCGCGTTAACAATCATACAATACATACAATCATACAATCATACATTACATACAATTGTACATTACACACATTACATACGATCATACGTTACATACGTGGCATACAA